ACACAGATTAAGAGCAAAGATGTGGCTATTAGTAAAAGCACAATGATTTATGGTGTTGTGCACATTTTTTTTTCCAAAGAGAGGAAGATTTTCTCAGGAATACTATGTAATGCAGTTATTTCCTAGCCTTCCTGCTGAAATTCTCTTTCTCAAGAAGTAACTCAAGACTCCAGCCCAAATAGATCCCAAACAGTAAGAATGAGCATGGCTTTTGGGAAGGGCAAGATATGGGTCYTGCCTTCTGCCCCAGGCCGAAACGCTCAGCAGCCTATTGCTAAAATTCCTGTTCCGGACTCCATTCCTTAGAGTTTAACCCTCAGAGAATGGACTGGGGAGACTGTCATGTGATAGAGTGAGGAAGGAATAGAGAAGAAGGAAAAAAATTAATTCTGGGAAAATGAGCAAAAAAATTTTGAGCAAATGAGCAAAAAAAATGAGTGCATCTCAAGGGTCAAGCTGCCATTTTTTTTCCCCCTTCTCTTTCCTCACTAAAAATAACTTTGATTCCAAATACAAACGTTCTACTTGCCCTTGATCACAAGGGGGCACCAAAGATTTTTTATACTGAATAGCCCAACCATTTACTGGACTGTTTTTCTTGCCTTAACCCTTACACGCTAACTCAATGTTACAAATATAAAAGGTTTTGAATAGCTTAAAAGAAGGGTGGCCATAATTCCTGCCTCTAAGAGCTGCAGACCAAGAGCAGAGTGCCACCCTGGGCAGCAGTTCAGCTAATACTGCTTCTCCAGGCCTCCTTTGCAGGGTGAAGCAGTGCAGGGCACAGAGCCAGGTCCTACAGCAACCTGGCAAGGTTGGCCTGAACCGCCCTGCTGGCTCAGTGCCTCCCTCAGCCTCGGCTTTTCGTCGTCCAGCAATGTCCTTCATCCTGATGCTGGTCCTAGTAGTAAGATGTAGCCCTTCATGTAAGTGTCACACTTGAAATATCTGAGAATTTACAGAGCTTCAAGATCTGAAGATTCTGTGCCTACTACCAAAAAACAAACAAAAAAAAAAAAATCAAAAAAACAAATACAGGAAATGTATTTTGTAGCTTTTTGTTCAACGCACTTTTACCAAGTATCATTAATCTGCATGTGCCTCCTCTAGTTGTCATTAAAAAGTTGTTTTTCATATGATCACTGTGTTGTATACATGTTTTCCATGTTTAACTGATGTTCTGATGGTTTTAGTGAACAAGCAGGTGAGCATTTAAGTTTTTATTTTTAAACAAAATTGGGAAGTGGGTTAAATATAATAATATAAGACTTCAACAAAGATGAGAATGCTTAATTTTTGGKTTTTTTTTCTGTCAGATGAAGACTGGTTAAGAATTGAGGAATTTAGTGTTCTTTATTCTTTAATTAGATATTTCTAAAAAGCAGGAGAGAACTAGACTATATGTTAAACTAGACTACTTCACAAAATAAGGGTGTGATTTTTTTTTTTAATATGCATTTCTTAAGCAGTATYGAACATCTAAGTTGTCCCTATTAGTTATTCTTATACCGTTCTTCACAGTCACTGTGTTGGTGCTGATCTACATGACAGCTTTTCTTCTCTCCTGGATTTTGTTCTTCTTAGGTGGTTCAGTCTCGCAGTCTGCTTCACTATATAGGTACAAAAGTGACTACAGTAGAACACAGGAAGGTGGGACCTGCAGGACTGCATATGTAAATCTACAGGCTTGATGTATCAGTAATCACCCGTGTGGATAATTTACCTTTCAGATGGGCAGTTGTGGGCTTGGGAACCGTTGCTGACATCCATTTGAATGGAAAACACGGATTCAGTGCTTGTCATGAGGTACATGTTATTCTTATCCACTGTCAGTTCATGGGCTTATCCACTGTCAGTTCATGGTGTTTGCGCCTTAGCTGGCTAGAGTGCCTCTTAAGACAAGATCAACAAATTTGCCCTGACTTTGAGGAAAATTACAAGCAATGTTAAAAAAAGTCACAAAACTTGCCAGTGCAACTAAGAGCAAGAAGCTACAGTGAAAAGGTAACATCTAAACCTATATTCCCAAAATAATTGTATAACACAACGTGACCTCAGTTTATCTACGTGAAATGGAGAAGACAGTGACACTGCAAAGTTTTTTATAGAGTGCTAAAAATTCTGATATGTCTCCTGGTAGCAAAATTCTCTGTAATCAATAAGTTGATTATTTCTTATTTTATATGACCTATRTAGCTTCCAAATGAAGCACAAGATATGGTACGCTAATTGTAGCAGGACTACTATTAATAAACTCCATATTGCTGTAGAAGTTAAGCACCAAGTCAGTGTTTATCTTGTGCATAGTTTGAGAAGCTGTGTATCATCTTCCCAGAATGACTTCTAATACAATTCTTTAAACTGCCATGGTCTTGCTGAATCCTCTATTTTTTTTTTTTTTTTTTTTTAATCAGGTATTAAGGTCCCTTTCCAAAATTAGAAAACACATTGTGTCACTGTGTCATCTTGCACTGTTATAATAAGATTCTTATAGGAATCTTTAGGCTATGGAGTGACAAGGACAAGCTAGGGATTATTTTCCCACTGATTATCCAAATAAATACCTGTGTACAAGTGAAGACTCATCTAYCCTCTGACTATTCCTTTTACTAACAAAATGTTTCTAATGCCAGTAGACCAAAGCTGTATAGCACTTCTTCTTGTACTCTGTAATGCTTCCTATTTTATTTTAAAGCACTTTTTCTTTTTCCTAGATTATTTTCAGAAATATTTCCTTTCAGAATCCTTTTCTAAGTGCTCGTATTTCATACAGCTKCTTCTTCTGGTGTCTGCATTAATTAATCTACTACAACTGAACAGTATTAAATTGTGCTGTGCACTAACAATGCAATATCCWAAGCTTAGAGGTCACACCACTGGAATAGGTAGTTCTGCAGTTTAACTAACAAACAGAATCATTTTAAATATTCAAAGATTTATCTGAGGATCAGGCCATACTTTCTCCACCAGTAATCATCAGGATCTGGCTCTCATTTTGGTGAACTGTTCTGCAGTCAATTTTTAAGTCTCCTCTCATCTATTTTCTAATAGAAATCGCTGCTTTTTGACTTCAAGTATAGGGTGATCATCCAAAGAAAGAATAGTTCTTCACATTTAATTAGTGGCAGTTTTTTTTTAAAGGTCTTTGATATAGATGGGCACTTCATATGATATCTGAGAGACAGAATGTGAGATTGATGGGAATTGGATTGTAGTTGTCTTTGGAAATCACTCTAGATGCCTTTCTGTCTTTTAAGCTCCTATGCTTTTTCAAAAAAATCCAGAATTTGCTGCTTTTTAATAAGTAAATATTTGTAGGGTTTATGATTTCATCATGATCATCGCCATGAATGAAACACAGTTTAGCACCAAAAAGCACAAGTGTTCAAATTTAATGAAGCAATGTGTGAAGGGGGGAGTATTTATTGTTTTGGAGGCAGTTGTTTATACCATTTTTTTCAGTAAATAAACCTTTCTCCTGTATCTCTGATATGTGATTTGCTGTTTGCTTGTTTTTGACAATCCTCAGTTCCTGGACTGTGCAYTGTAGTCCCTGAGCGTGTGAATTTGTTCTGCTTTCACCTAATCATGGACTTCACCAATGACATGAATTGAAATCATCCTTTTTTTCCAAAGCTGAAAAATTTGGGCAGAGATATTATATTGCTCTGATTTGTACAGAAGGGGTTAAGTTTAGTTTTCTGTATAGTTTTTTTGGGAATTGAAAGCTCTTCATTCATTTTGAGCATTTCTGTARTACTGCTGATGGATCAGGCCTTTCAAAGGAGCCTTTTTGCCTAACTTGCATACGTGGTATCTTGTGCTTCTGATCTCAGTGSGATTTGTGCCAAGCTTCCAAAATCAGTGCAGTTCTGGCACTATGCAGGAATAGAAACTTTGAGGGTACATGAATGCTCAGAAAGCCTGAAAATGGCTAAATAATCTAAGCAGCATCAGGGGCCCACTTAAATTCCAGTAATGAAATAGCAAAAATCCATCAAAAACATTATAGGGAACCTCAATTCCTCTTTAGCTTTAGCTAAATGTGAGAAAGGCTTTTTTTTTTTTTTTTTTTTTTTTTTTTTTTTTTTTTTTTGGTCCTAGATACCATCCCTAGCCAAGGGAGACCCTAATACATTCTGGGGGCAGGCTGTCTTCTGCTTCTCGTAGTATCCTGTCTCCATCCATGTGAGTAACTTCTCCCTAAGTGAAGTGTCTACCTTTGGGTTCTGCTCCGTTAGGGCCTGACTACAACAGGGCCCCAAAGGACCTCAGGGATGGTGGTCACCGAGGCTGGAGCTGGTGCCTCACAATGGAGCCTTTTGTCCCTGCTAGGAGACAGCCCTGCTGTGACCTCAGCTCGTACCTTGCAAAGCTTCTCTCTCCTTCTCCCCTTCTCATTCTAGTGGGAATGTTCCCTTGGAGCTAGGAGTCACTGCCTTTCTTAGGGCCAAGCCCCACAGTCCTTTCACACTTGAAGAATTATTTGATGTATGATACAAATCCATTGGGCCTTAGTCTTGGCTGATCTGAAGTTTTTGAAGAGAAATCCTGTGTGGCTGAAGGACTTAGCTACTTGGGAGGAATATTACAGCAGAGCCGGCTAAGGACTGCTTAGACTAGTTGAGAGAAGAGTATTTAATCCCCTTCCTCACTGCTTATTTAACCATAGTAAATACTCCCAGATTCCTAGGCCTTAGACAGCTTTGCTTAGGGGGTCGAAACGCGAGGCGGCTTCAGGGAGCTTCCCACCAGCAGCCGCATTTGCGTCGGGCCGCGGGCAGCGCGGCGCTGTTTGCAGTGCCCATAGCAACCCACACGGGCCGGGAGCCGCTCCGCTGCGCCCGGGAGCCGCTCCGCTGCGCCCGGGAGCCGCTCCGCAGCCAGGGCCAGGCCCGGTGACCCCACAGCACTGCACGTGGAGCCCTTAGCTGAGGGCTGCGCCCTTGGGAATGAGGCTGTAGGCGGGCAGGGGTGGCGAGGGCCTCGCAGACGTGGACATGCAGGCCGCGAGGCTTGCCACCGGTGAGTAGTCTTCTCCAGGGCGGGTGATGGACGGGACCTGGCTCGGGACCAGGCTTGCGACCCGGGAACTGCCTCAGGGCTCATGACAGGGATGCAAAGGAGCGAGATGCTGGGCGGGCAGGCTGAAACTCACCTAGAGAGTGAAATTAAATTCATCACCGTGAAAAAAGAGCTTTACTCCCTTTGGAGGCATCCTAAAATTGAAAAAGCTTTTCTGGAGCGAGATTTATTTATCCAGGAACACCTCCAATTGCATTTCATGGATTTTTATCATGTGATTCATAGTATTTGCTGTTCGTGGCTCCTATGTCTCATGCAAATCTGTATTTGCATTAAAAACAGCAAGCTTCTAGTCCTTCATTTTGCAAAGGAAAGCTGACAAGAAGTTAACTGATGCATATGTGAATGTAAATGAAATCTCTTTAAAGAATACTTTCGTGATAGCATTCTTGTGTTTTTTGATCTTTTTATGCACAGGCCAAAATTATTGCAACCAGAAGTTTATTTTATTTCCTCAAACCAAGTTATTTTATTTCAGAATATCTGTGAAGATTGTCATGCCTCATTACTTATTTTGTTTCTGTTAATAATCATAGTTTAACAAGCTTGATTGTGTTGCTGGAATAACACGTGCATGTCACTTTTATGTTTCAGAGCCTCCATGTATAACAGAGGATGTGTTTGTAAGTATGCTTTGTAAGGCTTGATCATTCATTCTGCCATGCAGCTGTAGAGCAGAAAGGCAAAATAAGTCACCAGACGCTATTTTTTTTCTCATTTCTTCCCACTAATTTGTTACAATAGTCTCAGACAAATTCTGCAGTTAGAAAAAAATGAAGAAATAGGAAACTATGGAGACTACAGAGATGTAAAGAGAAGTAAAATAGGATGAACGATGGAAACAATCAACTGGATGGTTCAATATGACAATCTTCTCATTACTTTACCTTCACTCGTAACTCACTGGGACCTCCCTGAAGTTTGTCTTCTCATTTGGAAAGTAGATATATGTGTACCTATTACCTCAGATCAAATGACACTTAGCTTAGGTAATGTTTGTTTTTGCACATCTTTGTAGATACTTATTTTAAAGTGTAAATGCATTGCCATTCATTTTGGGGGCCTCTATAGGCAAACATATAAATCATAAACAGAAGCCACATTCAGGTGTTCAGGTAGGGATATATGATATATATTGGACAGTTAGCATACAGAAATATGTACAAGAGAATATATAGCATTTCTGTACTGCAAATTTACATTGCATACAACCTTGATTCTGCAGGCAACTTATTGAAACTGGATGGATTTGACTCCAGGTGAATTTTGCTCATGGRTAGGAAGCCAAAAGATTTTCATGCAGCACTAGGGATTTACAATAAATTTAACTTAGATATTTTAAAGCACAATTTATTGTGTGTATTTGGAGGGTGGAGCTGTATTTATCATTTGGTGGATGCTGCAGTATATATATATCCTTGATAAAATGACTTATAAAATCCTTTCAGTTATTAAAGACTGATAGAAATCAGGCCCAATCAGGTCCTATTTGTATATAAATTGCATGAAGGCAAAACTGCAGCTTTTGACCCATTTTTAGTGCATTTTGACCTCCATTTGCATTTTTAAGCCAGCTTAAGCCAGTCATAATTTGGCCTGCGCAACAGAAAAGACAGCATGAGAAGGAATGAAAAAGAAAAAAATCCTACCACAAAAATCTAGGCTATAGTATTATATATGAAGCCCTATAACCTAGTAAGTGCAAATAGGAAAATGTAACTATACTTCTAAAATGAAAATAAGACTGACCACAAAAAAAGAACCCAGGGAACGTGTTGTGTATAATTCTGCAGTAAGTAGCAAAACTTGCATTAATAAGATCATAAACTTTTTTATTGATTAATGATCCAGTGTGTTTATATTTCTTGCTGTTATATGGGACTAAAGAGAATCATATCCTTGGCAAATTAAAAACAGATGTTACCTGCATATTCTAAACAGCTTATAGTTCAGTCAKTAATAAATGAATTGTTTTAAATAAGTCATTTGAACCAGTAAAATAATTTCACACTATATGTATGACACAGAAGGTCGTATCTAATCATCTTCACACACATCTTTATCAGTTTTCAAATCTGTTTATGTTTCCCAGAACAAATGTAAAGCAGACTTTAGCTTTTCTTTTTTTCCTTTTTTTTTTAATTGCCTTTACACTTGCCGATTCGAGATCTCTGGATCTGACAGAGGGCCCAGTGTGTTATTGGGAGAATTTTCTGTTGACATCAAAATGTTTTGGATTAGATACTCTGGTAAATTCTCCTATTTACATTCTCCTCGAGCTGTACCCGAACATCTTTAGGTCTGCAGTGCTACAGCTGCTCTGGACCATGTGCCTGATATCTCAAAAAAACCATGAGGTTTGCAATGCAGAAAGCTTAGCTTTAAGTGATGTCAGTACCTTCTACGAAACAGCCTGAGTTCATCTGTCCGTCTTGTATCTTAACTGTAACCACAAGTGTGGAAAAATAGATGTTGGTAAACTAAGGCTGGACAAACTTTGTCACGACTGGTTCTGGCCTGCCATGTAGCAGTTCATGCTTTTTTCCTCATCTGAGCACAAGCTGGGCCTTAGTTTAAATCAGTATAGACACTGTGGAGAGCAGATCAAGATACTTCCTGCCTACCAGTTTGCCTRCTTGCACTCTGCATGCCCTCTTGCACATTTGCATACTATGAACTTCAGAGAAAAGGAAAGGTTTGTATTGCAAGACCTTTGCAGATATCAGTAAGTAGATTAGACTTAGGTGAAGCATCCTTTTTGCTTTGTAAGACGGGAGTAGTATAATATTCTGAAACCATTAGAGACATAGAGAACTCTTCATCATACTGAAGACAGTTGCTAAAGGCTGATGAACTGACTTTCTACTTTTACCATCTGTTGAACTGTAATGTGGGGGTTGGTGTTGTGGGCAGTAGAAGAAGATGGGGTTCCATCTTCATTGATTTGTCAAGAGGAAAAAAAATATAATTTGCTAATAATTTTTAAGTCTTGAGTGTGGTATTTAGAATGTGTCAGTCATAAAGACACAAAACACCTGCAAATATAGTATTGACTGTTGTAATTAAGTCAGAAGGAAACCTCTCAGTTCTGTAAGACTCCAAGTATGGCATATACTGCTTGCTTGGTGGACTAAACTCTGGACTAGTGAACTCCTTTGATTTTCCAAATATTCCCCCAAACATCCCCAAGCAGTAGTGTTGGAGGAGAAACAGACTTTGCTGAACTCTTATACACCCCTTTATAACTTTATCTCTACATACCTTGGCAAAGGAGCTGCCTTCATGTGTGTTTTTTACATTAAAAACTGCAGTGCTGTGCAATGGCTAGATAACAAAACAGCAAGAGGGCAATGATTATATTCTCAAAAGTGAAAATCTTGTTTTTTTTGCCAAAGCTCACATGTCATATACCTTATGGGAAAATCATTGTTTCAGGTGATAATATATTCAAAACATGCTTGCACAGTAAGCACTAGTATAAGCCTTTCCTTGTGGTTTTGTCTCTCCACAGGAAGACTACCTAGCCACAGATGATATGCTTGTAGACTACTTCAATGAATTTTTGAGTCTTCCGGTAAGAACCTTACAGAAATATCTTTCAAAATATAGAAACTCCTCATTAGGACTAGTAGTAAGGTAATTTGTCTTAGAATAATTTGCGTTTTGTCACTGTGAAGTTGGCTTTTACAATCTTTCTATATTTAAGGTAGCAGCTCTTACTCTTCAGTATCATCAGTTTTTGAAAATATAATGGACATGGACTTCTGGGGATAGATTTTCTCTTGCTCCATCTAAATTTACACACTTAACACACAGTACACSAAAATAATATGGATGGCGGAATGAAAAAGACATGTGAATACTCAGGTAAAATGTGTAAGGAATTCCCTTGTATTCCTGTACCACAACGTGCTGACATACGAATRTCTGTCCTTCAACACTCTTCTGGTGAAGAACGCACTAGTGAATTAGCATTTTTGCTCAGGAGCCAAAATACATTTCTCTCTTTCTCTCTCTCTTTTTTTTTTTAATCATGTGGAGCCTTCAGAAGGTGACAATTTCCCTCCCTTTTCCTCCACCTGCACCTGAAAGGATGCAGCCTTGCACTGTATCCTGTGTCCCCATCCATTACAGCTGGATCACAGTACCCAATGCCCCATATATATACCCTTGTATTTTGCTCTGTTTCCCTCTCAAATACCCAGCCTCCCCACACTAGTGTATGTGCCACAGACAGTGTCCTGCTCCCTCAGTGTGGCAATTTCATCCAGAATTTCATCCACCTTCTTTGCACTGTAGGCTCTAACTATCCCCTTCTTCATCCCCACCACTTGAACCCATATTCTGCTGAATGTTGGCACAGACCCCTTTCTACAGCATCATTCACAGCTCCCATGGGGCCTCCCAGCTAATCTGCCCTGAGCTCCCTCACAGCCTCTCTCCCTCCATATACATCATAGACAAGTATTCCACACTGTGGGAATATATACATATGCATATATATATATACACACTACTTCATTACTTGCCTGGTAGAACCCATCTCCAGCATAGGGGAAAGGGCAGAAATTAATTTTCATGATATGGGATATGTCTCGATGCACTTTGGACCTGAAACTGGTGTGGTAACTATTGGAATAAAATCAGTTATGAGTCAGGTTTACCACTTGGACCTAGACTGGAAATGTTCTCTAAACCACATCACAGATTTGCCTAGAAGAAAATAGAATGGGAGCTGTGCCTTAGAATACCAGAACTGGGTCCTGTCTGCCAATTTTTCATCTTAAAAAAGGATATGGAAGTAAGTACTAGAACAACTATATCAGAATGCAAATTCTGTGTGCGGCAAAGATACTGATTTCTCCTAGGAGCCTGGTCACCCTCATCTACCTGCAAGATTCTTAAGAGTACTTTTTTACAGATGAGAGTGGGTTTTTTTTAATTTTTTTTTTTAATTTTTTTTGTATCTCTCCATTTCTCTTCCTGTAGCTTTTTAGAATGCTTGTCTATATCCAAGCCTAACTGCATAGTCTTTAAACCTGGCCATCCTTTTGAGAAAGTTTTACCTTCCATAAGCCAGATTGCTCTTAATTCAGGACTACCACCTTCCACCCCTTCCTTCATTTATTTGGAAACTATTATGCTTCAAGTTTTTCCCCAAGTTATAGTGGATGGAGTGGGAAAGAAGTTTAACCTACTCATTCTCAGTGTCTCCATGGGTATGAATAGATTTAAGGACATCTATTAGAGGCCAAAATTCTCCTTGGCCTCACAGGGCTCCTAGATTCAGGGTCCTGGCTCACTTGAGCAGCTCTGAGACGCAGCAATTGCCCAGGCACTTACGACTGCTCTTGAAGCCACAGAAGAATTCACAGGACAGCAAACACTGTTTTATACTGAAATCTTGGTAGATTTCTAAGACAGCACATGCTGTCTATGTATTTACACATTTTAATTGAAATGGGCTATCTTCTACTAGATATTTTTATTTCTAATGTTCTCATAATTGATTTTATTTTCTCTTTGATATTTTTTTCTGAGGATTTATCCTTTCCAGGATTAAGCTAGTTCTATTAATACCTTGAGTTCTGTGGTTTGAATATTTTATATTCCCTATTTCCCTCCTCTTCTCAGAACACTTCTATTAAACATTGCATTGAAAATTCCATTGCTTTATTCTTGTTGTGCTTATATGCTGTTGCCTGGAAACAGTATTACCCAGGTGTGCTAGTAGTTAGGCAACAAGTTAAAATGAAAATATTGTGTGACTTGATACAAGCAATCAGTGGTAGCATGTGCTTATTTTAGGAGACTGTCTCAATATTGATTTATAATGCACCACTAGTGTATGGAAAATTATACCACTGGGGACCTTCTATAGCAGCAGAGAAAGAATTTACTTTGATTTACAATATATCCTCTAAGCTATCATGTTATTGCAATAACATTCAGTGCAGTCTGACATGAGTATCTACATACTCTGAAGATGTACATACTCTAATGAAGGATAGATTGTTAGGAAAGTATTTCTGAAAGGTAAAATACTACAAAAACAAACAAACAAACAAACAAACAAATAAACAAACAAACAAACTCCATGACCAACAGCACAGTGATTTGACAGTTGCAGAGAGCAATAACATGACATACCAGTTATATGTTCCTGAGTATGCAATTTAAATGGCTTCCCGATTAATTAATTTAAAATGAAAGATTTAAGATAGAATTATTGATATAGAGATATTTCCATTTCCTACTGGCCAAGAATCCCTAGAATTTAAATCTGCCGTCCATGTATTTGTATGTTTAACCATGAAAATTCAGATTGTCAGAARCCTCCCTTAAATCCAGTGCCAGAAGCCTCCGTGAAATAGTGCAGTGAGGTCAGCTTATTTGTGCCACACTCTATGAACTACCTGCTGCTCGTTCTGTTCCTGCTCGGAGCTGCTGCCCTAACCTTCATTTCCAAACTGCCAGGAGAGTGCGTCCYCACTGAGACATGTTCTTCCTCTCTGTGGCCTACATGAAGAGTTGCACTAGGCTCAAAAGAGCCATCTGTATCTTGCCTTTGCTTTTGGGAGATGGCATTCTTGGTGGCCTGTCCTTGGCTCTGGGTTTCCCTTGCAGCAGAAGGTTGACCACAACTGATCAACTTACCAACTTCAGATCTGAAGACCTACTTATTTCAAAAGTCTTTCCACTATAAAAGCTCTTAAAAAGGGACAAGCAATTATTTTATCGCCTTTATTACATTAAGCATATTCTCCTTGAAGAACAAATATACTATAGGTAGTTTGCTTGTTATAAATTAGGACGAGTATCGTGGTACCTGGTCTAACAGGAAGTGTTTGGGCCAGTTTACAGGTAACACTTTTCACTTCAGTATGACTCTCCTGAGTAGATTTTGTTCCAGGATTTGACCCAGAGTAGTGATTCTGAAAAAAAAAATAAAAATTAGAGAAGTAAAGTATGGGATGAAATATATTTCAGGTCCCCACAGGTTGGGACCAAGTGGCCTTTGTAAAAATGGAAGGGGCCTGAAAGTCTCATGGTCTCAAGAGTAAAATCAGATCTCGCTGCCACGTTATGAATAGTAAATGACAGAAARGGCTGAAAATGATCTGCTTAGCTTCATAGTTCAGACCCTTCTCTGTTTCGAAGATGCCTCTGAATTATTCCTTTAAGTACTAATATATCTTCCCTAGCTCCCTGTTGGCTTTCCAGGTGTGCAGGGAGAGGCTGCAGGTGCCAATACCATCTCTCCTCAAAAGGCTTTTGTATCAGTGAGACTCTATGTACGTGTCATGTTCATAAAGCCTATTCCAAGGCAAAAAATTGCTTGATATTTTTGTCATTCAAGAAAGCAAAAGAAGCTGTCCTGACTTATTTTCCAACTGAGAGTGTATTTACTGTCAAAAAGCTCTTCTTACTCTTCTGACACTGTGACTTTGGGTTGAGAACTGTGCCTTATGCATCAACAGAAGGGAAATCCTGGACACTCTGAAGTCAGTGGGAGATTTACCACTGACCTTGTGCAGTCTGAGTTTACCAGGCATTTCCTAGAGCTGCTCAAATTCTTTTCTGGTCTGGATTTTCACTGACATTTATTTATGATATACAAATACCCGTCTTAAGGAAGTTTTGGCACAGCTCCTGGATGAGGTCTCTATTCATTCCCACCCTTTCAGGGCCTTAACCTAAGAGCCAGCCAAGCTGTGGTCATTCTGTTTCTCTTGGGATCAAACTATATTACTTGGGGTGGGATGTGGGGAGCATATTTACACATTTGTTAAGTATATCTGAAGTTAAGTATATCTGAAAACTGTTAAGACAGAGAACAGTGAGATTTATATGTCTGACATCCTGGCAACATGGAGATAGATGCTGTTTTGGTTTCTGTTTTGGGAAGACTGAAAGAAATTTGCCTTCCGCTCAGTAAACTGAAGGTTTTGGAGGTCTATATTCTATTTATTCTCCAGCTGAAACTGTATTCAATGTGCATTTGACAGTTAAGAAATTTCTTTGCTGTCAAAAATGTATACACAATTGTTATTTATTTAATATAATGGCTATAACAGTGTTTGATTGTGAAACACCATGAAAACACTTTTTTTTTCTTTTATCACATGATTTTTCTGAAGCTGAGAGGACTCTGCCGAGTTAAACATTTAGAAATACATTGGATGGACTGGGGTCAAGTGGAGAGTCAAGTCAAGAGGATACAATTTGCAAAATCTATAGATTTCCTATTTGTTCGTATTTGCAAATCCTTGTTGATCCTGTTTATTGTGCTAAATTGATAATGCATGAATCCCAAGCTTCAAGGCCAAAGCTTTGGCCCTCCTGCCAAAACTGAATTTATTTTAACCTCTTGAGGTATAATTTGGCTCTGGATTTTTCTCTCGGTCTTTGAAGGATCAGCAATTGGCACAGACTAGAGACAGAATATAGGGAAGAATGCAATCTTACTCCCAGTATTTGGTTAGTCTATTTTACTTATATGTTAAAATTAAAGTGCTTGCCAAATCTGGGGTAAGAAAGGCATTTCCTGTTGTATTAGATTGGCAGGGATATTTTTTCTCCTTCCTTTGTGGCATAGGCTATTGTCCTCTCCTTAACACAAGTGGGCATCTTCACTGAAGAGATTCCTTGTTCTTTTAATGACCTAAAATGCTGGTGGTGCCATAAACCTCTCCCACAGTCTTTTTTTTTTTTTGTGAAACATTATAGAATTTTATGGCATTTGGCTTCTGTGGGAAAAGTTTTACGTTTGCTACAGGGTATGGAGAAGTTTTTTGTGGCTTGTAATGTGTGGGAATGGTTAGATTTGGTGTTCTGTTCCAAAGGTTTTTACATACTGAGAGGGAAATGGATTGACTGAACCTCTCTGTCCTCTACTATAACCATGAAAATGTTTTCTATAGGAAATAAAGATGATTTATTTTGGTGTTTCCATTTGATTTTTATCATAAAATTAGCATTTTCATTTTTGTGGTGGGGATGAGTGAAGAAGGTCAGGACTTATCTCTTCTTTTATTACGCCTATAAAAACATTCTGATTTATCATTCTTTTTTTTTTTTTTTTTTTTTTTTTA